AGAGTTCATTTTTTGGAGTTATTTTTTTTAACTCTGACTACGGTTTGTGTTATTGGATACTCCCCGGCTGTGTTGTATTTTGGAGTTCATTCATTGGTGTTCAGGAGCGTGTTTTAACACTACACCTGGAGTTATTTTTGAGAAGTGCGCCACGACACGACCCTGCCGCTGCACAAAGGAATAATGGACTTGCGCTTCGTCGTGAGGTAAAAGTGTAACTTATATAAAACTATTTAAAAAATATATTCTCTGACAAACACGTTTGGTCATCACGTAGCTGTTACGTTACAGGCTAGTTTGTTTACTAATTAACGTCAACGACCATGACAAACTTGCTATTGAACGCATGTTTAAATTATTTGTTTCAAATTTTGAAATGGCTATTTGCGTGGGTTTTTGTCGATGTAAACGAGTTAACATTAGCTAACCGTCTTTCCATTCACCGTGTTTCTGAAAATGAGTGTTTTGCCGTGAAATTGATGCATCAATGCATTACAGGCAATTGAATTGTAACAGCTATGTAACGTTAGGCTATATTAGTGGTGACCCACGATCACATGTGCGTGATTTTCAGCTTATATATTTTTGCATTCTCAATGAATGGTGCTAGATTATATTATGCCTCATGCTGTTGTTTTTGTGATCTTCAGACGACTGTCCTGCAGCAAGCGGTTCCTTCTCAAGTCTGAACCAAATGGATTTGCTCAAATAAAGGCAGTAAATCAAGAGTATGGTGTCCAGTGTAGTAATTTCCACACAAAACATTATATTGTGTTAAATAAATGTTAACTCTAAGAAGTGTTAAACTAAACTGGTAACACTGGTAATGAGTTCATATAATTAATTTTAGAGTTACATTTACTCTCTGTAGGATTAGTATTTTAACTCCATTTTAACTCTGAAAAAAGTGTTAAAAATTCAACTCCAAGAGCAGAGTTATTTTAACTCTGCGCTGGAGTCTAATTGATGGTCTCACATGTACACTCAGATTGAGTTGATTTTAACTAACAGGGAGTTTATTCCAAAAAACAGAATTTGCTGTGCAATCATGTTGCCAATTGACATAATAAGTTGCAAATTGGTCCTCCAGCTGTTCCTTATATGTACATTTAACTTTTCTGGCCTCTTATTGCTACCTGTCCCAACTTTTTTGGAATTTGTAGCTCTCATGAAATCCAAAAGGAGACAATATTTGGCATGGCAATTCAAAATGTCTCACTTTCAACATTTGATATGTCATCTATGTTGTATTCTAAATATAATATTGAAATTTGAAACTTCCACACATCATTGCATTCTGTTTTTATTCACAATTTGTACAGTGTCCCAACTTTTATGGAATTGGGTTTGTACAAACTTGTATATTGGCATCCTGATCTTGTAAATAAAGATGATAAAGGATTCTCTGGCCGGAATCTTTCTGTAGTGTTCCCATCCTAAAAAGAACCACTAGTCCATACTTTACACTAAATGTTATATGTACTGCATTGTGGTGCCTAAAACACATTTTTGGTAGAAAAAGAAAAAAGGACACTTGTGTTGGTTGGTTGGAAAAGAAAACGAATTTAGAAAACTTACCACTACATGTTTCCTCAGGTTAGATGTTGAGCTTTTGAATGCTGAAATGTCTGTTTGTTTTGGTAGACATCACACAATGTAGCCGCTGTTTCACACTTTTACTAAGGTAAACGTGCTTTCAATATGAGGCCAAGGGTGTTCCTCATGATCGTCTGAGTCTGCATTGCTGTTACGCCACAGTAGAGGAAGCAGGATCCAAATGCAAGCACTTTAATTAAATAAACTAACAGGTAATCCAAGGCAAACGTACAGAACAAGAACTCAGGACATGAACTCAAAGCAGGAGCAAGAAACAGCTACACAAAACAACAACCGACAAACAACAACTGGAGAACAGAGGTATAAACACAGACAAACGAGGTAACAAGGCGGCGTCGCTAATAGAAACATCAACAACATTTTGTTTAACATCAACAAAACGGGGAACAACTGACATGAAAAGACAGGGAAACACATGACAGACAAGAACAAGACATGAATCCACACCGTGACAATTGCTGACGGTTTCTGACATTTTTGTTTTGCTACGAGCCTTCGACTGTAAAGCTAACCCATCCAGCCGTTGAGATCGAGTATGGTCACGTCCCAGCAAACATTTGGACGTGTAATGACCGTTGAAAAGACGTCCATGATTGAAAAATAGTTCCAAAATGGAAGTTGAACCGTCGTCTTTGACGTCATCTGGCCGTGAATTCAACGTCTTTTCTGGCCGTGAATTCCACGTCTCTTCAGCGCATCCCTGGACGTCAGAATTAGTCTTCTTCTAGATGTTTATAAGGTGTGTTTATGCATAAGTGTAGGCATATAAGCCTGCATATAAAATAGTTATATAGTAATTGTGTTAAATCGTAAACAGGCGATTTTGACATTTACACATCTAAACTTGACAAAGGTTCTAAAAAGGGCCAAAATCGACCAAGCCATACCTAAACGTCTAGATAGAACACGTTATAATCACGTGTAGATCAAACAACACAGTAATTTACTAAACACATTAAATACATTTAAGTACTTAACTTTGATGCATGCAATTATGCATAATTTATAGTTATTATAGTAACTACATGTAACAAGGTCACTGTAAAATAAAGTGTTATATTATTAACATTTTAGTAGTTCATTACAAACGATCAAAGATAACGGGATGAACTAAAGTCACAATTTATTTATCACATTTATTTTATGGTTTTAATACAAATTCACCTAGGAAACAGAAAAAATTAACATGTTCATCACGAAACAAATTCAGTTTCATAACTAAATTTAAGGAATTGAGCTGTCACAAATATCTCCCACATCTTTTTCACCCGAAAACTTATTTTTTATATAACCCCCACCCCCCGCTCTTCCCGGAGCATGTTTTAAATGTTCAGCCATAGCGCCATCAATTTGCGATTCCGTTGAATTGGGGTTCCACCTCTTCACAGCATCTAACGAAAGAGAATATTATATTAATAGTAATAAATAAAATAAAAAGTAGGAAAAAATTACATTCAATTATTTCAAAGAGGTTTTTATGGTCCTATAACTAAACTAAAAAAATAAAAACGAACAAGAATTTTTCTTGAATGAAAAGTAAAAAAAAAAAACAAAGATTAAAAGTGTGCTAGATTTACGCAAGCCCTGAAACGCAAAGTAAAAAAAAAAAATCTAGCATTTCGACTTTAATCTCGAAACGTTTCGACTTTAATCTCGAAATGCTAGATATCATTTTTTTTACAATTGTTTTTTTTTTTATTAAAGTCGAAACGTTTCGAGATTAAAGTCGAAACATTTCGAGAGTATGAGAATGTCTTGCGTAGAATTTGCGTGTGTGCTTGCAATTGTTTCACAGTGCCGCACGCACAGGCATTCATAATGGTGTGTAGCGAGTGTTTCACACTGTGTGTTTGTGTTTTGTTTAAAGGAAATTCAACAGGTGCCAAATCTACCAGTATAGGACATTATATAATATTATGCATTATACTGCGCCGGAATACACTTTAGCCTATAGGAAAACCAACCCAGAAAACACTTTTCAGACTGGATGGATATCTTTATGAATGAATGAATGAGGCATTTATATAGCGCTTACATATGTCTACTAGGCCTGCACAAAGCAAGTTACAACAATCATATCAGATATTCTCTCCTCAACCACCATTAGTGGTTATTAAATCTGAGGAAAATCACAGGATAAAAGTAAAAAGCTACTATTTTGTGTTGATCCATGGCAGTTCGACTTCACAAGTGCATTTCGCGTGCGTGCGCACTCTGAGCCTGTGTACACGCTCTGTTATGAATACACACACTAATATGGAAGACTGACTGTATTATCGTAATGTTTTGACTTTCATCTCGAAACATTTCGACTTTAATCTAAAAAAAAAAGTAAAAAAAAAAAAAATAGCATTTCGAGATTAAAGTCTAGACATTTCTCCGCAACCCAACCATACGCGCCGACCCGTTTGACTAAGGCTGTCGAGCCCCACTATCGCGGTAATGCGTTTCAGTGGCAACGGTTCCGTATGGCATACCACCTACCGCAAAAACACAATATCTGCCCAACCACCCATCATACACACAATACACACAGGAAAGTAATGACTGTAAATACTATGCAACCAATACAAAAAACCTACAGACGTTTCAAGTTTTATAGCAACTAACTGCATCAGAAACAGATAGCATGTTACGTAGCTTAGCAATGTTTCTAAGGTGGAAAAAGACTGTTCTTGTAACACATGAAATATGATTTTCGAAAGACAAGTTGCGATCTAGTGTAACACCCAGGTCTTTTACTGTAGTGGATAAAGTAACAGGACATCCGTCTATATTAAAGTTTTATTGTGAGAGGTTTTGTGAGTAGTTTTTTGGACCAATAAGTAATACCTCCGTTTTATCTGAATTTAATAGCAGGAAATTACGCGTCATCCAGCATTTTATATCTTTGAGGCACTCTGTCAATTTAGATGAGTTAGTGTTTTCATCTGATCGTGATGAAATATATAATTGAGTGTCGTCAGCGTAACAGTGGAAATTAATTCCAAGTTTTCTTATAATATTACCAAGTGGCAGCATATATATTGAGAATAGCAGAGGGCCTAAAACCGATCCTTGCGGTACTCCATAGTCTACTGACGTTATCTTTGATTTTTTCCCATTTAAACAGACAAAATGATAACGGTCCGATAAGTACGATCTAAACCAGCTTAAAGGAGAACTCCGGCGAACAATGAACCTTTGGTCTAATAAAACATCGGTACATGGTCAACCGTTTTCTGAGATTTGTTTTCATGATAATCGAATGTAAAGAGTTTTATCTCTAAAAACTGTTTAGCGTATAATGCTAGTGATGGGGGCATTGACTAAGTAAAAAGAAATCGCTATTTTATACCACTAACAAGGCTCAAAATAGGCAAGAAAAGGTTAAAAAAACTGACAACTTAATGCAGTACACAAAGTCAGGGGTCGGGCACGTCTCATCCAAGTGTGTTGGACACAAAACTTAATCTTTAGCACAAACAAGGACATTTGACAAATTAGGTAATTAACAAATGTGTAGACTGTTTAAGCCATATCTACACAATTCATATCTACAGTTTACCATACCTTTTTTTATTGCTTGAAGAATGTGCTTTATCTTCATTAGTTTTGTGTTGACCTTCAACTGTAAATAAAATGATATTGTAATTAATGATAATTAATTACATATAACAAACCCAAAATGTTTAAGTGTAATTACAAACATGGGCATTTACCTGGCTTGGGTTTTGGATTGTTATATTTTGGTGGAGGAATTGGGTAGCACAGTCCTTTTATCGGTTTGCTTATTTTTATTTGGATTAGGTTCTACTTTTCCTTTGTACAAAACAAAAGCAAAGTTTTTCTCATCTACAAAGAGAATATTTGTGATTAGGCTAAAGATGCTCAATAACATAATAAGAGATGGTAACTCACGTTTAACTCACGTGAGCTGTGTTGACTCAATGTCAGTCACGTCACTGTCATTGTCAAGGTCAAAATCTAAAATAAATCAAACAGAAATTAATTTGTAAGTTTCAGGTTCACATATGAAAAACAGTCAAGAGTGCATTAACAATTTGTAATTTAAATCCGTTTTAAAGCACCAAATAATAATGTACCATTTACAAAGTCACTGAAGACTTTCCTCTTTCTAGTTCTTTGTTCTTTCCCCCAATTGTCCATTGCCTAAAAGATAAAACAACAGGACAGAGTTTAACTTTCAGGACACTAAAACCTGTCCATTTATTCCAACAGTTGGAAAGCAATTGAACAATTTTGATTATACCACGGGCTGTTTAAATATTCGATTCTGATTGGCTGGAAGGTGTGCAATAAAACCGTTTAATGCACAGGTAGTTCCAGTCGAAATGAATCCGCTACTATAAACCATAGACTGTAAAAAACATTGGTAACCATAGTAACAGTTACGCTTGCAAACAGAGTGAGAGAGACATATGAAAAAAAAAACCGTTTATTTAGGTAGGCTAAATGGATGATTTTTGCATATGTTTTAATTTGTATGGTGAATATGGCAATTTTGAGAAATGGGCCCAGGCACAATTTGGAACAGAAAACTTGAAAAAGCGGCACAAAGAATTAACACAGAGCTAGATAAGATCGAAGACGACAAAGATGAGGTCAATACGAAAAAGACAACTACATGGGCAGTCAACACTTTCAGTGACTTTTAGCGCCAAAGACAAAACAATTCTGATTTCGAGACCTACTCTGCTTCTCTTTTAAATAAGACATTGCGGGAGTTTTATGCCTCTGTTCCGTCTACCGCTGGACGCGAATACAGTGTAGCAAGTTTGATGTGTCTCCGAGCAGGAATAAACCGTCACATTACAAAATACAACATCATAAGTGATAAAGACTTCAAGTCAAGCAATGCCGTCTTTAAATCAGTTTTAAAGCGCTTCAGGAAAAATGGAAAAGACACCAGCGTTCATCATCCGCGAATTACTGAGTCTGACTTGGAGAAAATTAGAAATGCACCTGCACTCTCCCCTTTCACACCCACAGGACTTGCAAGAAAAGTTTGGTTTGACATACAGCTGTGTTTTGCACGGAGGGGAAGAGAAAGAAACCGTAAGCTATCAAAAGAGTCTTTAGTTCTCCGGCAAGACGAGAATGGGAAAGAGTACTTGACCCTGGCGCATAACCCAGAGACAAAAAACCACAAGGATCCCACTGCATCGGATAGGGAAAATTTACGAGGATTTATGTTTGCAAGACCGGCGACCCACAAAAATATCTCTCAATGTTTCCAGAAAATGTCGGAGCGTTTTATTTGCATATTTGCAAATATGGTATGGGGGGTAGGAGTACATAAGTTTTACTTCTTCCTTCTCCTTTTTGCACATGTAAATAGAGGGTTGTTTTTTTTGTTTGTTTTGTTTTTCTTCAAATATTGGAAAGTTTGGATTTTTTTTTTACCTTGTTCATTTTTGTTTTGTTTCTTTTAATTAATATTCCTTATTTCATTGATTAATAACTGTATTTTTATTTATTATTTACATGTTCAAAATAAAGATCTCAAATCAAATCAATAAATCAAATCAAAATCAAATCATCTGAGACCCATCTCTGTGCAAACTCAAGAGCACCGAATTGTGGTTCACCAAGGAGCCGATGGGGCTCAACTACCTTGCCAATATGCTAAAAAGTATTTGTGAAGAGGTTGGTAATAGATATTTCGTTTTTGCCCATGAATTTAAACTGTGTTTATATTATTTTCCAAATTTAAATTGTATACTTTAAATTCTTGTTGTTCAGGTGGAAGGTATCTCACAAATGTACACAAACCATAGTTTGCGGAGCACTGCAGTTGGACGACTCCCTGATGCAGGACTAGAAAGTCGCCAGATCATGTCAGTGAGAGGCCACCGATGCGAGGCCTGTATTGGGCCCCATCTTTGTCAGAGAGGAGTGCATGGAGTGACATACTGACTGACATCTAGAACCTCAACAAGCAAAGCGAAACATAATTTCACCTCCAAGCCTAAAACTGAAATAACCCTACCCTTTTCCATGTCTAACTTCACGATAAATGGAAATGTGGAGTTTAACATCAACTAGTAGGCTATGATGATGAGTAAAACAACCCCATATCGAAATTTCCAACTGTTTGATTTTTTTTTATTTTTTATTTATTTAATGCATTTCAATAAATGTAATGTGTCTTTATAGTAATCGTGGCTAGAGACCCTGGTTTTATTTCTCACTCTACATAATTAATTTAAATTGTCAGTGTTGCTGTCATTCATAAATAATTTTAATAAATCCATTAAAGAATCATTCTCTGTCTCTCTCTCTTTTAATAATGAGTTTAAATAAATGTGATAATTCATTCAAATGAAAGCAATCCGATGGCTCTACTTTATTCAAAGTGGACGGAGTAGAACTAACGAGCCGTAACTTAAGAAAATAACCGTCATTTTTACACATCTGTTAAAAAATTACACTGTTATTTGTATGTACATATCTAGAAATGTGCATTATATGTTTGTGTGTGTATGTACTTTTACATATGTATATTGGCATTTATCATTATTGGTTTACTTATTTATTTTATTTATTTTTAATTATTATTATTATTATTTATGTACTTTATTTTCTTGCTACTTATATGCTGGCATGGGGTGGGGGGTTGTTAAAATGTAAAAAGCTTTAAATAAAATATATATATATATAAAAAAATGACACTGTTAACATCAGTTATAGCTTTAACTTCTTTTTAACTTGGCAAATAACCGAGGTATAAGCGGGATAATCCACGGCTAGTTAGGGATAATCCGCTTCACGTCGGGTGGTTCTTCGCCTCTACGTCGTGCATTAAAATCCTTTAATGCATGGCTAGCCATGGATTATCCCTTACATATAACATGCTAGTAATTGTATATACAAAAGAATGTTTGACAAGTCACTGCTGACAAACATTATGTTGAAGAGCTTTGAATTGTACGCCTTTTCAAAGACACATTCACAGTCAGTTTCCCTAAACACATCCATCCTTAGTGTTCCATCGTTTCGTTTCTCCTGGATAAATCCCACTGTATTATCCATCAGGAACACACAGTTGTCCGGCATCTTTGCTGTTAGCTTGCTTGTACTTCGGGATTGTCTGGCAGGTCTTTCAGTCCATTGTCTTTCAGCAAGTCTTTTGGTGACTTGCACTAGCGGTTGTTCGCCACTTCTCACCATTTTTTGATAACCTGTAAGTCAAACGGAAAACATGAAATATTGTTCAAAGAGCTGTGGAAGTTTGCAGCATCATCTGCTAAATGTTTGATGGAATGGATGTTGTATGTTGGAAAGGTGGATCCATAAAAATCCACAGAGATATCCACAAAGTGCTCCAGAATGATGTGTGCGCGTATCCTAGATAAGACTCTCTCTTCTCATTTGCTTCATCCAAAAGAATGCTCATACCAACACTCAGACAAAGGAAATGGTGATACTGGTCATTAGGAAGAACATCCTTCAAGATTAATGGTCCTGTGTAGAGCATGAACTGACGTAGCTCAGTGGCTTTCCACCTATCCAATTCTTCCATGCTTCTTGGCTGCCTTGCAAACTCTGCAGGCAAAGCTTGTTTCAACTGAGTAATGTTCATTTGTACTTGCTCTATCTGAGCTTTACTCAGCCGACAGATAACTGGCCCATGCCACAAGTATGTCAGCAGCCTTTTTGTGGCTCCAAGACATACTAGGTGCATGTAGTCAATTGGGAACTGTTTTACACACAAAATACCAGCTCTGACAAGAGGTGACGTTTGTTTTTGATGGTCAGGGTATCCAACTCGGTTGAATACCTCATCTGTTCTTCCTTCAGAAGGACCCTTTGTCATGTAAACTACCCTATTTGAGCTACTGCAACACATCGCTCACATCCATGCAGACTATTGTGACTTTTTATACTTTTCAGAAATGACCGGGCTTGTGCATCACAGATGATTGCCTTCACTGTAACTGCGTGAGCCAAATTCTGGAATGAAACTCCATTTTGGATGAGCGGTTGCAACTCCTCCAAGAAATCTTGTAAAAACTCCTCAACAGGGTTAGGCTTGCTGGATCCATAATACAGAGATACAACAAATGGCTGAAAGTTCGTAATTTGACCGAGAATGGGCCAGAAACACATTTAAATAATGGCATCCCATCCACGTTAAAGGACAATTCAACTTGTCCTGGCTGTGTCTTTTTTTAAATGTGTTCAAGAATGTAACGCTCAATACCATAATAAATATACTGTCCATTGCATTTAGTTTGAACTGGCACTCCTCGTGGAGTATCAAGAAGGCTTCTAGCATCTTTGGGAAGTCTATGCCCATGGCGCCTTAGCACACAAAGAAGCTCATTTAGTGCCTTGTGGGTTTGATTTGTAGCAGTAGCCCACTTAGCCAAGTATTCGTGGAGAGAAAGATTTTCAACGGTTGAATATGAAGTCTCATCCAACTGCTCAGTGTCACGGGTCTATGAAGGACTCAAATGCAGAATGTGAATGAACAGATTTTCTCACTGAGTCCAAATACGCTTGGCCGTTTTTGAAGACCGATTGCGTCACCGCAGCGCGATGAAGGCTGTCCCAATTCAGTTATGCATCCTCCGAAGGCCGTATTCGAAGGCTGGTTACGTCATCGTGGCGTGACGAAGGCTACCCTGATTCAAATGCGACGGCCAAATGCAGCCTTCATTTCGCAGAGAAAGAGAGGATACATAAATGGATCCGATCCGATCCTACGCGGCCTATCCTACCCCATAAGTCATTGCGCTGGTGACGACAGCATTTTTTTTTTAAGCAGCCGAGAGTTCGCTGGTGGACGGTAAAT